AAGTTCTTCCTTATACATTAAGTAAATTTTCTATAAGCGTAGACACTGTAGAGGGAGTACAGTTCACGTAAAACAGTTTTTATCATATTATTATTGTTGTAAGCCTGATACAACACGTCATCATGCGGGTCTCAACGTGATCGAATAAGACTAATAAATATTGTAAAATGTTATCGTGTAGGTATATAATATAAATCGTTTAATTCGTGTTTTGCCCAAGAGAGGACCTTATTTACCAATTTACCAAAAGAATTTCAACGATGACTGTGAAACGGTAAATTTTACACAAAAACGGGATATTCCACAATAACCTCGAGAGTTTTTTTCGTTTGCAAACAAACCTTGGATATGTGTGCATTTAAGACGTTTTTTTTTTTTTTGACAGAAAATAGAAACCCGCGTAATTTCGTAGAATTGAACGTGACAAAGGCGGCCTGGGGATTCTTCTGCGTAATGGATAAGAGAAAAAAATACCGCCCCCTTCGGAGTCAAGACGTGAGTACGGACCGTACGGCGGCGAACAGGTCTATTTGTGTGTGCTTGTATAGTGCATGTATGTGTGAGTATTTTTTTCATCACGTATAGTTTTACCCTAGGGTTTTTTCTCCATACGCAGACCCCTCGTTATTATAACAAATCCCGTCGATACTTATTTTTTTTTCTCTTTCTTACCGGTGAATGTATAAATATATGCTGTTAATACCGCCGTGCGGGCACTGCAGRCGCAGAGACTGGATAACCACTCGGTCAGTATTTGATATTTTCAAATTAAATTCGTTTATCATTAAACCATTATAAAGTGAGTAAATGATGGTCCGTAATAAAACGTATGAATAAAAAAAGCGAGTAAGTAGGTGGATGTCGCTCTGCAGTATAGTAGATTACAAGTGGGTTACTGTAATGGATGGTATTAAATTTGAATTCAATGATGTAATATCATTGTATACGAAAAACGATTCCAAATGGAGACGGTTTATCAGCCTAGGATATGTTATACTATATTAATTATATTGTTAAAATTACAAAAAAAATGTCCGTAATAATTATTTAATATTATAAAATCGTAAAATCGTGAAATCGTACGTTTTTTCTCTTTTAACCACTTTTATTTCGAGTACCGTTTCGAAAATTCGAAAAACGACATTTCTAAAGTACCAGCTAAAGAACATTACCTTTCAGAAAAGGTTTAGAGAATAGAGGGAGAAAAAGTTTATACAGAATAAAAAATAAAAATAAATAAGCATTAATGTAAAACCAATACATTCCTTGCTCCGCTCAGAATCTAAAATAAGCAGCTATATATTTTCCCGATACAGGAGTTTATACATTAATCGATAAAAAAAATATATAATTAATACAACATAATCTAGA